ATGCAGGACGTGTGTCATATGAACTTCGTATTGGACCTCGCTCACCGTAGTCTCTGCGGCTCAGTTGTAGAGCATCGGAACGCGGAAACAGAAGGTCTTAGGTTCGATTCCTCATGGGGACTCAGAATTTTTTCTTTGTCCTACGCTAGTGACAAGACGAAAAACTTATTTCTCCATGAATGACTCCTTTCCCATTTTCCTAGTGAAAGAATACCAGGCGTCCCGTGACATGAATTAATTAACAATACTTTCTGTGCTTGAGTGGTCATAAATCCTAAAGAAAGGTCGGAAAACTATTTCCTTCCAAAGAAAAAAAGCATACAAAGACACTACACATTACCTGGAGACGGAGGTTTCCCTGGTGGAAAAACTGTGTAATCATAAGAGAAAAAAGAAAATATCAATTATCAATGAAAAAGATGCTAGTTAATGTATTGGCAACATTTAAACGTAATCGTTGGCTTTTTTCTCTCTCATTTCTAACACGCATTCCTGGATTCTTTGTTATAACTGTCTTCTCCCGCTTTTTGTGACTCAATCACCGACGTTGCCCAAAAATTACGAACTTTATAAGTCCGCTCCGCGCAATTTTTTTTCTTGTACAGGATCAAAGCAAGTAAGCCCAAACAGGCAAGTCAGGCCCGAATTATCTCGGTCTTACCCTTATTACCCTGACAGTATTGGTCAGGTGAGTTATCGTTGATTTTTGTTGTTGTAATCATTTACTTTTCTAATCATTTTTCTTCAGTCGCCATTCTTTCTTTATTATCGTTAACCTCGCACGGTATCGATTAACTTTCAACTGAAGACAAAGGCTAGAATTTGGTTAGCTCTTTCTCTAATTCTGTATCAAAATGGAGACCACCCTTCTTACTTCCTAACAACTGGGTTAGCAATAGTTACCACAGAGATTCTGGTTTAGTTTGTCAGATAGCTGCTGGAAATATTCCAGGGCTTCATAATCTTCCTTTACATCGTCCATTGAATCGGTCATCAGCCTTAGTCTGCCTTTAGACGCCTGAGTTCCTACTGCCACGGCTAACACACGGACACCTGCTCTTCGCAAGGGCTCAGAGGTACCTAGCAAGCTTTTAATTTCGGGGCCTTCGGATTGTTTACCATCAGTCAGCACGACTGCAATCTTATACACGTCATCTCTTCCCTCTTTAAACACCTGTTTTGTTTCTACGAGGGCCTTGTCGATTCGTGTTCGGCTGCCGATGCTTTCTATGTTTTGTACCATATCCTGAAATTGTTTGACGCTTAAGTTTTCACTGAATCGAGCCTTAACCTCAACTTTATCAGCGAACACAACCAGAGCTACTCGAGACTCATCTGCTCCTAGTTCTAGACCTTTTACCATTTCCTTTACAAGCATCTTTGCGTCTCCCAGAGCACCCACCCCAATAGTATCTGAAGAGTCGAAAACAAACGCCAGATCTACTGGGCATCCTGTATTGACATTAAACAAAACCACATAATTAGGTCATGAACTGGATTTCATATTCTCCTACAAGTCTTACTGAAAACGAATTAAATAAAGTTCTCCGATTCTCCGGGTTTGTTTTAAATTGGTTTTTTTTATTTTTATCTTCACAGAGGTTCAAAACCTTTTTGTAAACTATTCTGTACTTTTATAATGCTACTAAAAGACAATATGAAAAGATCACTTTCTCCTTTATGACGAACTATTACGAGGGGAACGAAACAACTTGGAAATCAGATGAATACGTTTGGACATCAACACCAGCACCGTGTGTCAAGAGAAATAGAGTAAAAGGCTTTACTTTTTGTATTCAAAGTTTACAGGAAATTAGAATGCAGAAGAACAGATAATCTTTTATTGCGCAGAACTTTGACTCACGACGGCATTCTTCTTCGTTGCATGTAATAGTCTCTTTGGCAGGCCCAATGCAAGCCCTCCCACATATATTAGGTGGAGGATTGGTGCAGCTTCTCGTGCGAGTCAAGGTTCCTCCTCCACATTTTGCATTACACTCAGACTCAGACCAGTCTGCGTAACGACCGTCAGTAACTGCAAATTGACAATGAAAGGGCAATAAGTATCATTCGATTATCAACCTCGTGGAAAACTACCATAACTTCCCTTTTCAGTAACATGGGAATGGCATGTAGTTGGGGAAAGATCTTATAAATTCGTCTTAATGCATCAATCATGTTGCACATTTCTCAGGAAAGAGCTGTGATCTTTTGCCAGAGCTCAAAAGGTCATAACACAGCGTTATAATCGCTTAATTTCGTAGGACAAAAATTTCGAAAATCTGGCTTTTTCCGTCAAATTAGCATGATTTTGAAAGAGGTAGTAGTTATAAAATCATGAATAATAATTATTGTAAGTCAATTTTAAGAGTGTCATCTTACCAGGATTCTCTGTGCAACTCTCTGTTTCCTTATCAGCACCGATACAATCCTTTCCACATGTAGACGGGGGAGGTTTGGTACAGGTCCTTGTGCGGGTTCGGTGTCCTTCTCCGCATGTTTTACTGCACGACGAAAAACTTGACCACGGAGTGTACTGGCCGTTAATAGGTGCTATAATGATTATCAAGAATAAAGATAACAGAGTGGGTTCTTTAAGGAAACGTGTTTTTCTTTTTATGATAAAACAATATACGAGGTTTTCGAAAAAAAGATTTAAATGTGATACTAAAGGCAGAAATGATCCTCGCAGGAGAACTACATTTAGGCAAAGTAAAAAGAAGTCTGAGAAATTTAGCTTCGACGAGATTCTTGTCCGAGCTTCCCAGCAACACCGGTTGGATGCGTGGCACTACACACAGAGACACACGTTGGGGGGATTGTGAGCAACGGAAATTTTAGTAGGTTCTTCGACCTGCAAATGAAATTTTAGTGCAAAAATGAACCTCGCTGATGCAGTTTATGGAATAATTGATGAAATGAATGAAATTTACTTCTTTTGAATGGCAATCAAATTACTTATGGGAAAGTAGAAACCAATAGAATTTGCTTCGCTCCTAACTTGAAGCTACGTATCTCAGTTGGTAGCACTGAGCTGCTGACCAGTATCTGGAATACACGGGTTCGAGTCCTGTCGAAAGCTTGAATTTCCTTTCAGGCTTCTTTTTTGCTTTTCTTGAGGTAATTTTTTGCGCTTAAAATTTAACCTGCAGGTTGCAATAAAATTCATTTATAATATTTGTGATATGAATCATCATCATCATCATCATCGTCATCACCATCTTGAAATTTAAAAAACTGTTCATTAAGTCACCACTAAAAAGAACAAACAACAACAACACAAAAACATATCAACTTTAGAATTCGTCATATGCTATTGCTTTTTCCTTTACAAGCAGGTAACACTAAGACGTTTAAATAAAAGTGAGCACGTGACTCCACTATCACGAGCATTTTGACATCTGTTATATAATACCTAAAGGGGCGGATACAAATAAAATGACTGGTAGAGTTTTAACGTCTACTTACGACAGACTTTCCTCATTATATTATTGATTTTACTGGAGAAATCGTTGAAATCATCATATTTGGTTATGTCTTTATCTTCCCCTGCTACCTTTTCCAAGTTCTCATCAGCATCACCACTGGATAATTCACTACCGATACCTGCGACGATTATTTTCACCCCTCTTTCCTAAGAAAAGAAAAATTTATAATTATCCTTCCTCTGTTCTGGGGTCTTCTGGTAGGTAAATCCCATGGCTTAACTTTCAATTTTCAGTGCCGAGGTATTCCCAGTGCATAGATTCGCACCGAAAGTTATTCATAAAATGTAACTTGCTTGATATAGTCGGTATACCCCGAGTAACATACCCTTAATGACGACCTTCCCAATGAATATGAGCTAGTTTTTCTAAAATGGAAGGTTGTTCAAGAAGCTGATAGAAAATGAAGAACGTGAACGAAGAAGAGTGCTGAGTGTTAGGGTAGGTCTAATTTTTTTCCTTAAAACATCATTATCCATGCAAGAGGAGTGAGTTAAAATAGCGCTGATATTAACATCCCTAACATTAGCTGAAACAAAACCTTGAACAATGCTAAATTAAAAGTTACATTTTATCACCTTCAAGATTCCCGTTGTGACATCGAAGTCAACTTCTGCCCTTTTATCCCATGTTTCATTAATCCAAAATTTTCCATCTGTAAGAATAATCATTACATTGCCGAAACTGGGTCGGTCTCCTCCTCTGCTGGTGAACACGTCTTTCACTGCTAGGTCTTCGGCAAGGTCTGTACGGGTTCCGTCATGTTTCGGTACATAAGATATTGCCTCCTTTGCCTTTGCTTTTATGGTGTCGGCATTGTGGTAATTTCTGTCTGCAAATGTAAAACTGCTCTTGGCATCCGATCCAAAGGTTATAAGGGCCATGTGACTCCCTGTTGGAGATACTTCCAATTTGTCCACAATCTTATTGAAGATGTCGGTTAGCTGACCTCGTTCTTTACTGTCCATGCTTCGTGACACATCTATCAGGACAGCAACATCCAGGGAGCAAGGCTCTGAAATGTTAAAACGATAAACTGTTAATTAGCAGTCAAATTCAAGTTTTAAAATTTCCCTTTGACATAGGGGGCAATTGTTTTCAGTATCGACTGCAGCCCCCTACGAAGCCCACTGCTCATGATACTAAGCAGTCCTCCAGCCATGGAGTTGTAGCCCACTGGCTGAGCTTTGGCAGGATATAAGACTGATTGCGAATCATGCTAAAAAGCGAAAAAAAACAACAAACAAGACTTGCTTTTAATAAATCCCATGAAAACAGTTGTGGCTTACCGAGGCAATCATCGTCGTTGTATTTGCTCATTTTAGGAGTCAGGAATCCAGGGTGATATTCTCCACCTTCACATGAAGAGACGAAATTTAGACATTTTGACCAAAGGTTAAATTATATATAGTGTTGCACATTAACTTTCTCGAGTATGTAAGGATAGTTTCTTAGGAAATCAGTCTTATTTTTCTCTCATCTAGCTAAAACAATTCGGAATTAATTATGTAAAATACAGAGAGAAATATCAACTGTCATTATCGATCTTACTATGTCTCTTTGGAAAAGGAACCATTTTTTTCTTTTTTTTTTGTTTCCAATTTTCTTTTTTCAATTGGTGGAAGGGATGGTATTTCCTGAATCAATTCAGGCCATATGTTTTTTTTTTTAGAAAGGAAACCACCGAACCCAACAAACGACCTAAGTTATCTTCAGGATCGAAACTGACATAACCCAACAGGCAAATGATAGCTGTGGGGTTACAGCCAGATTATCACCACAAAACTGACCAATCAGGCTTAAAAAACAGACTTATCCCTAAAAAAACGACTCTCTCTTTGACAAGAGACACTTTGCTCTTTCATGGAATCCCCTTTACTGAAGGTTCACTCCACAATATCAAAGAGTAATTTCGACATTCACAAGAAGTATTCCCTCAAAATTTAGAATGATCAGAAAGAAAAGCTATGATAACATTAGGACTCTCGTGTAAGCTGAAAAAATACCGACTTGTTCAACTATAGGCGTGTTTTCTGCGACGAGCATTAAGTTTTAAACAACCAAAAACGAGAAATTTAACTCTCCTGATCAAGTCGGTAGAGCGCTGTAAGGGTAGAAAGAACTTCCTATGCCCCAATCCCCCACCGAAAAAAGGAAAATCACGAAGCTCTGTCATGAAATAACTTTCAGGCAGACATAAATCCATAGTTACCTTCCCCCTTGAATGAAGCAGTCATGGCCTCTAGATAAAAACAAGTGAACAGTAAACCAAAGAGAGCTTTGGCCATGGTGCAATGTGGGTAGTTTCCCAGTTTCGTACGTGAGATGAGATGAAGGTCACTACTGTTCGCTCCAGCTGAAGTAGCTCCCCTATTTATACTCATCAGTTCAGGAGGGCCGCACGCAAACATCTTATCATGCAATCACCTTAATTTGTTTTACTAGTTGATAACAATCTGCTCATTTTTGTTTTATAGTGCATCTTAATTTGCCAACCAAAGACGCCGTTTATAACTGGTTATGAAACAGGAGATGTTATTATAATATAATCTGATGGGAAATGTGCAAATAGTTTAAATAATAATTCAAATGAGAATAAACATGACGTAGTGGCAAGAAAACTTTTTCTTTTCCTTCTCTGTCTCAAAGTCGTTCTATATTCAAACGATCTTTAAAAGCTCTTTTTTTTCTGTTTCTTAACGAAGCTAAGAATATCACATACCATTAATTCATCACTCTACCTTTTTTCCGTTTTCGTTGTTTTTTTTCCTTTTTTTCACATTGTGCAATTTCTGCTTTTTAAACAGTTTAGATATCATATAATCTAATTTTCAGTTGTTTCCTTCAGCAGCTACTAATACCATAGCACGTAATTTCTGATCTTCTCATACATATATTTTACCTTGTTATGCTCTGTTGCTAACCAGGCAAGCCTAAGATACATATCAAGGAAAGTCCTTTTTGTGATCACGTAGACTCTTAAAAGTTGAAGATAGATCAGTGTAAATTTGCATATTTACAAGCAAATAGTCTCATTTGCCTCCATTGAGGGCTGTTTCATTATGGTAGTCTTTCTTTCTTTCGACCTTGCTTTCCGTTGGCGGATAAGGTTTCTTTTTTCTTTTGTTTTGTATTATTTTTTGTGTAATGATTGGAAGCTTGGCAGAAATCAATTTCGTTGTAGATGTTGCCTTGGTAAAATATGTTACCTCGCCACCCATTGAACTTCCTTATTAAAACGTGTAAAATATGATGCGAAGATTTTACCTTCAGGGTATATCGATCAACGTTAAAGTTGAATAAGCATATCTGGGAAACATGGCGAACATGTTTCAAATGGTGCTTTACAATTTTAATTTAATTTAGAGGATTCAGTTAAAATATGCCCATAAACAAGTCGTGTGTCTTTTTCGTTTTCTTTTTCATTTCTCTCTTTTATTTTGACAACTTTATAGTAATAATGTGAGGGTCAGCTGTCCCTTAGCGCGTGAACATGCCGCGTGAAAAAGTTCAGTTTGAACGCCCTTGGATTAACTCCCACCCTGGCGTCGTATATTGATAGTACGGCGCTATCAAACTGCGTTATTCCATTAATAGGACAAACTGATTATATCGATGTTTTCTGATGCATCATATAATTCTTCTGATGTTATCAATGCTGCCTTATACTTCTCCAATAGGCCTTTTCAGCAATGTGATCACATAACCGTGGTTTGAATTCGGTAAACAGGAATTCAAACATTGGTCTTTAAAATTGGCTCACCCAACGGTCGAAGACAAATTAATCAGTCGAGATTAAATGATAACAACAAAGCAGCTGTCTCTCGTGTCGTGATTTTTCTGAAAAAAAAAAAGAAAGATTATGGCGTATGAAGAAACTAAAAAAATTGCTTGCAATGGTCGTTTAAAAAAGGAGAATTGAGACAAAAGGGAAAAAATTGAAGGAAAACTGTGTTTGCTCTTGAACGCGCTTATTTTAACTCAAATCCTTG